GCTCTTTTTAGCTCCTTATACTAAGAGCCACTGGCACAAGAGAAGTTTACTAAGTCTGTAAAAAGAATTATTTACAAGGACTTGAAATTCATTATAAGTTTAATTGATTAGATTTTGTAGTAACTGTTTAAGTATTCTGGGGAAAATTGTGCTTGTTATGTTATAAAGTACTTAAAAAGAAAATCAAATATATTAAATTTACAAATAGATTTAAAATGTTGGCAGGAATGAAATTAGGGTGTAAATAGGGCTGAGTGTCTTCAGAAATTCAGAATCTTCAACTTGAGTTCAAATATTAATCAAAGGAAAAGTTAAGTTCATTTTTTTCTTCTTTTTTTCTTTTTTGAGACGGAGTTTCACTCTGTCAACAAGGCTGGAGTGCAGTGGCACGATCTCAGCTCAGTGCAACGTCGGCCTCCTGGGTTTAAGCAATTCTCTGCCTCAGCCTCCCGAGTAGCTGGGATTACAGGCACGTGCCACCATGCCTGGCTAATTTTTGTATAGTAGAGACAGGGTTTCACTATCTTGGCCAGGCTGGTCTTAAACTCCTGACCTCGTGATCCACCTGCCTTGACCTCCCAAAGTGCTGAGATTACAGGCGTGAGCCACCACATCCAGCCTCATTTTTCTTATTTATGTATTGAATAATAATTTCTAAGTTGAAACACATGGTTTAAGACAGCCCCCCCCCCCGCCCCCCCAGCCTCCAGGCCATGGATTGGTAGAGGTCAATGGCCTGTTAGGTGCTGGGGGCTGCACAGCAGGAGGTGAGTGGCAGGTGAGTGAGCAAAGCTTCCTCTGTATTTACAGCTGCTCCCCATTGCTTGCATTACTGCCTCAGCTTCGTCTCTTATCAGATCAGTGGCAGCATTAGATTCTCACAGGAGCGTGAACCCTACTGTGAATTGTGCATGCAAGGGATCTAGGTTGTTCACTCCTTACGATAATCTAATGCCTGATGATCTGTCACTGTCTCCCATCACCTCCAGATGGGACTGTCCAGTTGCAGGACAACAAGCTCAGGGCTCCCACTGATTCTACATTATGGTGAGTGGTATAATTATTTCATTATATGTTACAATGTAATAATAGAAATAGACAGGCATGGTAGCTAATGCCTATAATCCCAGCACTTCAGTAGGCTGAGGCAGGTGGATCATGAGGTCAGGACTTCAAGACCAGCCTGGCCAAGATGGTGAAACTCCATCTCTACTAAAAATACAAAAAATTAGCCAGGCATGGTGGCAGGCACCTGTAATTCCAGTTACTCGGGAGGCTCTGCCTCAATCAATCAATCAATCAATCAATCAATAAAAGGCTGGTGAGATGGCTCATATCTGTAATCCCAGCACTTTGGGAGGCCAAGGTGGGTGGATCAGTTGAGCTCAGTATTTTGAGACCAGCTTGGCCAACATGCTTGGCCACCCCATCTCTATAAAAATAATATAAGAAAACCAAATTAGTGGAGCATAGTTGCATGTACCTGTAGTCCCAGCTACTTGGTATGCTGAGGTGGGAGTATAACTTGAGCCCAGGAGGTCGAGGCTGCAGTGAGCTATGATTGTGCCACTACACTCCTGATGAGAAAAGTCATCAGGATAGGGGTGGCATTCAAAACCAGGGACTGGGCTGCACACGGCAGCTCACACCTATAATCCCAGCGTTTTGGGAGGCCAAGGCAGGAGGAACACTTGAGGCCAAGAGTTGGAGACCAGCCTGAGCCACATAGTGAGACCCTGTCTCTACAAAAAACAAAGGGCTGGGCACAGAGCAAGACCCTTTCTCAAAATAAAAATAATAATAACAATAACCCAGGGTGGTGGTGCACACTTGTAGTCCCAGCTATTTGGGAGGTTGAAGAAGGTGAGTTGCTTGAACCCAGGAGTTCCAGGCTGCAAGGAGCTATGATTATTACAGCCAGGAATTATGTGCCACTGTACTCCAGCCTGGGCAATGGAGGGAGACCCTGTCTTTACAAAAATAAAACATGATAAAACCAAATAAAACAAGCCACACCCTTAACTCCCTGTGGTCTTCCCTACTCATCCTACCTAAAATGATTCTCCCTCCTCTGAACTTCCCATCAGTCAGATTTGTTGGAAGTGATTAGCAAGACCTAAGTAGTCTTCCCCAGGGGCCTCACAACTTCCTGCCCTGAGAGGTTCCCAGGATGCTTTGCAAATAGTAAAAAACCACAGTAAGCATAACTCATGGATGTGAAGCATTTCACATTTTTCCTTCTGGTCCCCTAACCTGGTATCACTGTTGCTCTTTACAGATGAATTAAAAGATGGCCCAAAGAGTCAAAGCCTGATCAATGTCAAAGAGTCAGAGGCAGAGCCAGGCCTGCAATCCAATCCCTAGTTTTTGTTTGTTTATTTCATTTGGTTGGTTGGTTGGTTTGAGTTCTGTCGCCCTTTTTTGAAGTGCAGCTGTGTGATCTCAGCTCACTGCAGCCTCTACTTCCCAGGTTCAAGTGAGTCTCCTACTTCAGCCTCCCAAGTAGCTGGGATTACAAGCACATACCACCATACTGGCTAATTTTTTTCTATTTTTAGTAGAGACAGGGTTTCACCATGTTGGCCAAGCTGGTCTCGAACTCCTGACCTCAAGCGATCCACCTGCCTTGGCCTCCCAAAGTGCAGCGATTACAGGTGTGAGCCACTGTGCCCATCCCTTAGTTTGCTTTTTGTAGAGACCGGGTCTCACTATGTGGCCCAGGTTGGTCTCCAACTCTTGGCCTCAAGTGTTCCTCCTGCCTTGGCCTCCCAAAACGCTGGGATTATACTTGTGAGCTGCTGTGTCCAGCCCAGTCCCTGGTTTTGATTGCCACCCCTATCCTGATGACTCTTCTCTCCAGCTTACACCTGTCCTCTACACCCAGTCCCATGCCCTCATTTGCCTCTAGACACCTCCACCAGATGTCTGTGGACCAGCTCAAACTGATGTGACCAAAACAGAACTTAAGATCATTCCTGTTGATTTTAAATTGTGGAAGTCAAAACTTAGATGTCAGTTGGACGCAGTGGCTCACACCTGCAATCCCAGCACTTTGAGGGGCCAAGGCAGGCGGATAACTTAAGGCCAGGAGTTCAAGACCAACCTGGCCAACATGGTGAAACCCTGTCTCTACTAAAAATGCAAAAATGAGTGGGGCGTGTTGGTGCTCACTTGTAATCCCAGCTAGTCAGTACATGAGAACTGCTTGAGCCTGGGAGGCAGAGGTTGCAGTGAGCTGCGATTGTGCCACTGCACTTCAGCCTGGGCGACAGAGCAAGACTCTGTCTTAAAAAAAAAAAAATTTAGATATCTTTCTCAATTCCTCTTTCCTGTGCACCCTACACACGTCTGCTAGCTTGCTCTGTCTGCCCTACCCCACAAATTACATCCCAAATCTGATCACTGCTCTGCTCCACACCCTAATCTAAATTACCACCCCTCAGGCCGGGTGTGGTGGCTCATGCCTGTAATCCCAGCACTTTGGGAGGCCGAGGTGGCCGGATCACCTGAGGTCAGGAGTTTGAGACCAGCCTGGCCAACATGGTGAAACCTCATCTCTACATTAGCTGGGTGTGGCGGTGAGCACCTGTAATCCCAGCTACTTGGGAGGCTGAAGCAGGGGAATCACTTGAACCTGGGAGGTGGAGGCTGCAGTGAGCCAAGATCCTAGCACTGCACTCCAGCCTGGGTGACAGAGCGAGACTCCATCTCAAAAGGAAAAAAAAAAATAAAAAAATAACCACCCATCTTCCCTCAACTAATCTACTACAATAACTTCCCCCTTGAAGTCCACTCTCCAGAGACCAGCCAGAAAGATGACATTAAAGTGCAAATTAAACCTTGTCGCATTTCTGCCAAAAATCCTTCAGTGGCTTCATAGTACAATTAGACAAAAAAAAAAAAAGACTCCTTGGACAGACACGGTGGCTCACACCTGTAGTCCCACCACCATGGGAGGCCAAGACAGGAAGATCGCTTGAGCCCAGGAGTTGGAGATCAGCCTAGGCAACACAGTAAGACCCTGTCTCTAATAACAAAAACAAAGAAAACAAGACTCCTTAACGTGTTAACGTGGGTTACAAGGCCAGACATGAGCTGACCAGACATGAGTTCACTTCTTCACAGTCCACTCTACTTCTTTCCCTCAAACATCCCAGGACTGCAGCCGCTTCAAGGCCTCTGCACCAACGTTTTCCTGTTCAACTCACTACTATTCATTCAAGTCTCTAGTCAAATGTCACCCTCAGAGCGGCCACCCAGGGTGCAATGTCACCACCACTATCTCTCCAGTCAACCAAAACACTATCTGTTTCATGTCCTGTACCTCCCCATCCGCCCACTCAGTAGATTGAGCGTTCTGTGAGAGCAAGGACTCGTTCACTGCTGGGTCCCCAGAGCAGGGACTAGAACGGGCGCTGGGAAAACATCTGCTGAATGCCCCGGGTACTCCAAGCCCTTGCTCTTTCCTATCCCAAGCAGGTCCCAAGTCTCCAGCCTTCCAGGCCAGGGTTGCCGAGTTCGAAGCCCAGGGGTGAGAGGAAGAGGAAGCAGGGCAGATCTGTCCCTGCCCTTAAGCCAGGGTGGAGGGTTCAACTTCCAGGACAAGACTTTGCCACAGGCCCCAACTCTTGGCCTGGACTTGGGGCTGGTGGAGGGGACAAGACGAAGAGGTGAGCCAGGGTCTCGGTAACCCAGATCCCCTCGCCCCTCTATACACTCCCCATCCCAAGAAATGGTGCGTCTCCCCGCGGGGTGCACGGGCAGAGAAGGAAGAGCTCAAGTCTTCTGTGCGGGGAAAAGAGACTAGGACTCGCCCTACCGCCACGTCCCGCCGAAGAAAGTACCTGGCTCCCTGGTGGCTATAGCTCCGGGCTCCTGCGTCCTCGCGTCGCGCACTGCTTGCTGGGATTTGTAGTCCCGCCTTGGCTATCAGTTCGCCTTTCCCAGAGAGCTTTGGGAAACTAAGCCGGGACCAGGGGGAGGGCAGGGGCAGATGATCGCGCGCGAGGGCTTCTGGGAGTTGTAGTTTAACCTCTTTAGCCAGGAATTCTGAAGAAAATTGGGTAACAAATTTTATCAGATTATTTGGGCTGTTCTGATATGAATCTCATGAGATTTTTTTCCCTCATGCTCAGGACAGCAGTACCTCTGTGTTTCAAAACAACCAACACTGAGATTCAGAGGAACTACAAATCCCATAAAGCGTTGCACGTCTAGGGTCTTTGGAGAACGAGGTCAGCCCCGGCGCGGGTGCAGTGGCGCGAGATAGACTGTGAAGAAACATGGCGGCCCAGACATTGACTGGGAAAATGTACTCCCTGCTGTTCCGCAGGACTTCCACCTTCGCCCTCACTATCGTCGTGGGCGTCCTGTTCTTCGAGCGCGCCTTCGATCAAGGCGCGAACGCCATCTACGACCACATCAACGAGGGGGTGAGGGCCTGGGCCTCCCTGACCTTGGGCCCGCCTGAGGGTTGACAGTGGGAGTTGAGGTGGGACGGGACTCAGTCTAACTTCACCAGGAAGGGGGAAAGGGGTAAACTGTCGGTGTCTTCTGTCTCGAGTCTGCCGTCTGTCCTCTTGGCTTGATGTGAATTATAAAACGTTAAGCGAGGTTAATCTATCTCACTACAGGGGTCGTAAGTATTGTTTTGTGCCACCCCACGTACCCACTCGTCCATTTTCAGAAGCGAAAACTAAAGGCTAGTCAGAGCAAAGAACTTACTAAGTGCACACTATCAGGAAGCCAGGGGCAAGTCAGGGCCAGAAACGGGACCTCTGTCTCAAGCTTTCTAGGGCAGATTTGAGCAGGCAGGCGTCGTAAAAAGGACATTAGACACCTTAGACGCCGTGGCTGTAGTTTCAAGATGGCGCTTCTGGTCCCCAAGGCTTCCCACCTAGGCGTTAGTATTAATGAGGTGGGGGGGCTATGAAATCAGAAAGCTTTGGATAGGAACACTGGTCCTTGTCACTTAACTGTGGCATTAAGTTGACCAATTTTCTTCTCTGAGGTCCAGTTTTAATTGTGAGATGGAGATATAAATAGTGACCTGAGCACTGTTGTGAGGATTACATGAGATGTAGGCAGGGAGCCATATGCCTGGTAGGTGGTACCACTGAAAAATAACCATTGCTTAAATTCCTTAGGGGAAAGTGGAAGCATGAGACAAGAATGACAACACAGTTTTAACTCTTGTGTACCAGACACTGTGCTAGGTGCAGGGTATGCTTTATATTGGTAAATTATGACTGTATTGGAGTAGGCCTTATACATATAGCCCTGTTCCAGCACTCACTGTGTTTTGTTTTGTTTTGTTTTGTTTTGAGACAGAGTTTGCTGTTGTTACCCAGGCTGGAGTGCAATGGTGCGATCCCAGCTCATGCTGCAACCTCCGCCTCCTGGGTTCAAGCAATTCTCCTGCCTCAGCCTCCTGAGTAGCTGGGACTACAGGCTCAAGCCACCATGCCCAGCTAATTTTTGTATTTTTAGTAGAGACGGGGTTTCACCTTGTTGACCAGGTTGGTCTCGATCTCTTGACCTCGTGATCCACCTTCCTCGGCCTCCCAAAGTGCTGGGATTATAGGTGTGAGCCACCGCGCCCGGCCTCTCACTTGTGTTTTTAATTTGAGGCTGTCTGACTCTGTGGCCTGGGAAGGCACTGTCCACTAGCGCTATGCCACCTGTGACCAGTACAACTTCCTGCCCATGTGAAGGCATTGCCACTGTCCCATCTCTTGCAAGTGGTTCTGTTGACCGTTCTCATTGATCTGGAAAGACAGCTAAGTATGCTGTTATAACTCACTCATTTTCCCCTGTGCTTTTTTTTTTTTTTTTTTTGAGATGGAGTCCTCTTTGTTGCCCAGGCTGGAGTGCAGTGGAATGATCTCGGCTCACTGCAACCTCCATATCCCAAATTCAAGCAATTCTCCTGCCTCAGCCTTCTGAGTAGCTGGGATTACAGGTGCATGCAGCCATGCCTGGCTAATTTTTGTATTTTTTTGGTAGGGACGAGCAGTCACCATGTTGCCCAGGCTGGTCTCGACCTCCTGACCTTGTGATTTGCTCACCTCAGCCTCCCAAAGTTCTGGGATTACAGGCATGAGCCACTGCATCCAGCTTTTTTTTTTTTCTTTTTGAGACATGGTTTTACTGTCGCCCAGGTTGGAGTGCAGTGGCATGATCACAGCTCACTGCAGCCTTGACCTCCTGAGTTCAAGTGATCCTGCCACCTCAGCTTCCCGAGTAGCTGGGACCACAGGCATATACCACCATGCCCAGCTAATTTTTGTATTTTTTATAGAGATGGGGTTTCACCGTGTTGCCCAGGCTGATCTAGAATTCCTGAGCTCAAGCAGTCCTCCTGCCTTAGCCTCCTAAAATGCTAGGATTACAGGCATGAGCCACTGTGCTTAGCTTCTTGTGCTTTTGGGAATGAGAATTTCAGCCAATTTAGGTCCCAGGAAATGTTTTAAATGGCTCATGGTGAAATATTTTGGGGTTATGCACTTACAGCCTCTTCAGTAATACCTGGGAGTTGAACTGAGATGTCTTCCAGACTGTTTTTATTAATGATTGCTTTGGGGCACTTCCCTCAGTCTCAACCTGAATTTCCTAAAGATCATCCCTTTCCACTTACTTCACCTGGTGATTGAAAGCATCATCGTTTTTATAAATGCCAAGAATTGTGCATGAAGGTTGGATGAATGGCTCACGCCTGTCCTTCCAGACTGGGAGGCCAGAGTGGGTGGATCATTTGATGTCAGGAATTCGAGATTAGCCTGCCCAACGTGGCAAAACCTCGTTTCTACTAAAAATACAAAAAGTAACCGGGTAGTACACACCTGTATTCCCAGCTGCTCGAGAAGCTGAGAATCACTGGTTCAAGCAGGAGAATCGCTTGAACCCAGGAGGTGGAGGTTGCAGTGAGCCAAGATTGCGCCACTGAACTGCAGCCTGGGTGACAGAGCAAGTCTCCATCTCAAAAAAGAAAAAGAAAATTGTGCATCAAGCCTAGGATTGCTTCCAGTTTGCCCACTGCAAGTGTATGTTTTTAATCAGGACACGGCATGTATTTCTCCCAAGCTTGTTTTAGAGACCACGGTAGTGGGAGTAGTTGTAAAATGTGAGAGGCAAAGGTCAAAGTTTGTGGCTCTTGTCTTTAAAATGTAGAAGCTGTGGAAACACATCAAGCACAAGTATGAGGACAAGTAGTTCCTTGGAGGCCCCCATCCAGGCCAGAAGGACCAGGTCCACCAAGCAGCTGTTTGCCCAGAGCTGGAGCCTCAGCTTGAAGATGATGCTTAAGTTACTCTTCGTGGACCACCATTCACTGTTGGCAAGAAACGGCTTTACCTTCAAAACAGACTCTTGACCTTCTGCTGTGTTTGAAGTATGTTTAGTCAGCATGATCAGGAAATAAATGTGAATTGCCCTTGAGACCTACCTGCTTCTGCACTGGTTGCTTTGTTAACTGTACCTGATCTTCACTTGTCAGTAATTTGAGACCACTTCAAAGCCCTCTGCAAATACCCTAAGGGCAGGCTCCTATTTTGAGTTTTCAATTACCAAAGAATTCTGATTTTCAAAACAGGAGCCAGCCAGGTGGGGGTGGGGGACAGCGTGGCTCACGCCTACAATCCCAGCACTTTGGGAGGCCGAGGCGGGTGGATCACGAGGTCAAGAGATCGAGACCATCCTGGTCAACAAGGTGAAACCCCGTCTCTACTAAAAATACAAAAATTAGCTGGGTATGGTGGTGCGCGCCTGTAGTTCCAGCTACTTGGGAGGCTAAGACAGGAGAATTGCTTGAACCCAGAAGGCGGAGGTTGCGGTGAGCCGAGATCGTGCCATTGCACTCCAGTCTGGGTAACAACGGCAAAACTCCATCTCAAAAACACAAACAAACAAAATCAAAACAGGAGCCACAGTTGGAGATACTACAGTCAAACTTTGGCTTCTAAGCCAGTAATTCTGTTCTTAAATCACTCACTGTCTTGGCCATGGGGAAGCACTATGGCTTCCGCTGGAGGAAAGACCCTGGCTTGGGGGTCTTAGCCACTCCCCATCCTGGGGTCTAGTTCAGGGGTATCCAATCTTTTGGCTTCCCTGAGCCACACTGGAAGAATTGTCTTGGGCCACACATAAAATAACACTAATCGCTGATGAGCTAAAACAAAAAGTTTGTGCATAAATCTCATCTTTACAAATTTGCATTTGGGCCTCATTCAAAGCCGTCCTGGGCTGCATGCAGCCTGGGGGACCACAGGTTGGACAAGCTTGGTCTAGTCTTTCTGCCTTTTACTGAGTATTTTTTCGTAAGCTGCCATAATGCTTCTCTGGGTCACAGCCTCCTGCCACAGTTCCACTCTTAGGAGTTCAGTTCATAAGGGTTCTTGGTTTGAATGCTGACTCCACCGATTCTAGCTATGGGAGCCAGGGTAATACGGTTTGGCTGTGTCCCCACCCAAATCTCATTTTGAATTGTAGTTCCCTTAGTTCCCATGTGTTGCAGGAGGGATCTGGTGGGAGATAATTGAATCATGGGAGCAGTCTCCCCCATAGTGTTCTTGTGGTAGTGAATAGGTCTCCTTTCTTAAATTTTGAAGGCAGTGAATAAGTCTCACAAGATCTGATGATTTTATAAGGCGTTCCCCTTTTGCTTGGCTCTGATTCTCTTGCCTGCTGCCATGTAAGATGTGCTTTTCGCCTTGCATGGTGATTGTGAGACGTCCTCAGCCACGTGGTACTGTGAGTTCATTAAACCTCTTTCTTTATAAATGATCCGATCTTTATCAGCAGCGTGAAAATGGACTCATACGCAATGGCAAGGCACTTGACCTTGCTGAACTCTGGTTTCCTTATCTGTAAAATGGTGACAGTAAAACATACTGCATGGGGTTTTGGGGAGTATTAAAGGAGTTGCAGGCCTATAATTCCAGCACATTAGGAGGCTGAGGTGGGAGGATTGCTTGAAGCAGACAGTTTGAGATCAGCCTAAGCAACATAGTGAGATACCCTGCCTCTACAAAAAATAAAATTAGCATGGTGACACAAGTCTGTAATTCCCAGCTACTTGGGAGGCTGAGGTGGGAGGATCACTTGAACCCAGAAGTTAAGGTTACAGCGAGTTATGATTCTCCTACTGCACTCCTGCCTACGAGTGAGTGAGACCCTGTCTCTAAAAAAATTTTTGGCCGGGCATGGTGGCTCACATCCATAATCCCAGCAACAAGCTCTATTGTATAAAAACCTTACCTTGGTAACTGTGGGACAATGAGATTGGAAGTGGGTGGGAATGAAAGCAGAGAGGCTAGCTAGGAGGCTGAGGCCCAGCTCCTGTGAGAGACCTTGCGGTGTGGCTGGAAACTGTGCCACCTGGCTGGGAGTGGCAGAGGAGAACATTGGGAAGTCCTGAGCAGGCATAGAGCAACTCTGTTTTGTAGCTGGGGAAGCTGCCTGGCCTGGTAAGGTAAATGACTCACCCACCTGCCTTCTTTCACCTACAGCCTGATGTGATTCAGCCAGAGCTGGATTATCCAGAATCTTCTCTGAAGGAGGAAGATTCAGGTCAGGAAACCAATGGAGAGGTAGGAGAGACCCTAGAAATTGCCCACTTTTTCCTACCTGAGGCATATCTTTGTGAAGATGAAGTTGAAGCCTAGGCAAATTATGACCTGCCAAAGATAGTGTACAGCTCTGCCTCAGCCTCTCCAGTAGATGGGACTACAATTGCCTGCCACCACACCCAGCTAATTTTGAAAATTTTCTTTTGTAGACATGGGGTCTTGCTGTGTTGACCAGGCTGGTTTTGAACTCCTGGCTTCAAGTGATCCTCCTGCCTTAGCCTCCTAAAGTGCTGAGATTATAGGCATGAGTCACTGTGCCCACTCTTACTGTTACCCAGGCTGCAGTGCAGTAGCATGATCTTGGCTTACTGCAACCTCTACCTCCCGGGTTCCAGCAGTTCTGCCTCAGCCTCCCGAGTAGCTGGGACTACAGACACCTGCCACCACACTGGGCTAATTTTATATTTTTAGTAGAGATGGGGTTTCATCATGTTGTCCAGACTGGTCTCAAATTCTTCACCTCAAGCGATCTGCCAACCTTGGCCTCCCAAAGTGCTGGGATTACAGGGTGAGTCACTGCACCCAGCCTAGAATCATTTATCTTTTTTTTTTTTAAAAAAAGATAGGGTTTCATTGTGATGGCCAGGCTGGTCTTGAACTCTTGACCTCAGGCCTAGCACCTCGGCCTCCCAAAGTGCTAGGATTATAGGTGTGAGCCACAGCACCCGGCTGAGTCATTTATTTTTTTTTAAACTTTTTTTTTTTTTTTTTGAGACGGAGTTTTGCTCTTGTTACCCAGGCTGGAGTGCAATGGCGCAATCTCAGCTCACTGCAACCTCCGCCTCCTGGGTTCAGGCAATTCTCCTGCCTCAGCCTCCTGAGTAGCTGGGATTACAGGCACGCGCCACGGTGCCCAGCTAATTTTTTGTATTTTTAGTAGAGACGGGGTTTCACCATGTTGACCAGGATGGTCTCAATCTCTTGACCTCGTGATCCACCTGCCTCGGCCTCCCAAAGTGCTGGGATTACAGGCTTGAGCCACCGTGCCCGGCCCCGAGTCATTTATTTTTTAAGGAATCTAATAAGCAAGGGATGTTGGGGGTATGTACTCTATCCTGTCCTGTCTTCAAGGATTCTTCCTGAGAGCTGCATTTCATCACAGAGTCAGAGGTTCAAACAGAAATGAGGAAACAGGGTTTCTTAAATGTGCTGCTTTGTCTTACACCAGACTATTAACAGTGGTTAACTGTTGAGTGAGTCATTGTGTGTTTTTCTTTTCTTAGAGACAGGTTCTCACTTTGTTGCCCAGGCAGGAGTATAGTGGTGCAATCACAGCTCCTTGCAGCCTTAAACTCCAAACTCCAGGGCTCAAGTCATTCTCCCACCTCAGCTTCCTAAGTAGCTGGAACTACAGGTATGTTTACCATGACTGCCTTTTTTAAAAATAAAAATAAAAAACAGTCTTGTTCTGTTGCCCAGGCTGGAGTGCAGTGGCACGATCTTGGCTTACTGCAACCTGTGCGCTTCCTGGGTTCAAGTGATTCTTGTGTTTCAGCCTCCTAAGTAACTGGGATTGTAGGCACCCACCACCACGCCCAGATAATTTTTTTTTTTTTAAAATGGAGTCTCACTCAGTTGCCCAGGTTGGAATCCAATCTCAGCTCACCACAATCTCCACCCCACCAGGTTCAAGTGATTCTCCCATCTCAGCCTCCCAAGTAGCTGGAACTACAGGCACGCGCCACCATGCCTGGCTAATCTTTGTATTTTCGGTAAAGATGGGGTTTCACTGTGTTGGCTCAAATGCCTGACCTTGTGATCCATCCGCCTTGGCCTCCCAAAGTGCTGGGATTACAGGCATGAGCCACCGTGCCTGGTTGGCCTATTTTATTTATTTATTTATTTATTTAATTTAATTACTTTATTTATTTACTTAGAGTTGGAGTCTCACTCTGTCGCCCAGGCTGGAGTGCAGTGGTGCAATCTTGGCTCACTGCAACCTCCACCTCCTGGGTTCAAGCAATTCTGCTTCAGCCTCCTGAGTAGCTGGGATTACAGGTGTGCACCACCACACCCAGCTAATTTTTGTATCTTTTTAGTAGAGTCGGGGTTTCACCATGTTGGTCAGGCAGGTCTCGAACTCCTGACCTTGTGATCCACCCGCCTCAGCCTCCCAGAGTGCTGGGATTACAGGTGTGAGCCACCATGCCCGGCCCCTGTTTTTTTTTAAGAGTTGGGGTCTTGCTATGTTACCAAGGCTGGTCTTGAACTCCTGCCTCAAGTGGCCTCCCAAATTGCTAGGATTACAAGCATGAGTCACTGCACCCCGCTGTTATTTTTCTTTGCCATTATATTTTCTCAGATTTCTAAGTTTTCTGCATCAATCATGTATTACTTTTATAATATGGGGTACATAAATTAAAAGGGGGTTTCCCAGAGAGACAGTGAATACAGAAATCTAAGCAGCACGAGCCACCGGCTCTGGCTCCAGGCCTGGAACCCTTCTGCTTGGTGGCTCAGGACACATTCCTCAGATGCCGATGAGGACTTGTTTCTGGCCACCCAGGGCACTGCCAAATGAGAGCTGATTCCCCCCAGAGCTCCCTGGATGGGTCTGCCATGCAGGTGGGGAGAGCTAGGATTAACACCCTCCTCTGATCAGCTCAAAGAAGGTGTTTATAACTAGAAAAAAGTTCTTGTCCCTCCCAAGCTTAGCCTGAGGCATTTCTCGGAGGAGAGAGCTGGGACAGTCTTTAGAGTCAGAAAGTCCCAAGGGCTTCCCACCTGGTACCCAGCACAGGTGTTAGGAAAAACTAAATACTTGTGTACCTTGGAAAGTGAGTTCCAGAAAGTCTCCGATCCCACATAACTCTGAGGAAGCAGGACCACTATCTGGGCTAAGAGTATTGGAGTTAATTTCATCTCTCTAGCTTCTCTCTTGTGTTCCAAAATATCTCTTAGGCCAGGTGCAGTGGCTCGTGCCTGTAATCCCAACACTTTGGGAGGCCAGGGCAGGAAGATCGCTTGAGCCCAGGAGTTTGAGACTAGCCTGGGCAACATGAGACCCTGTCTCTAAAAAAAGTAAAAAAAAAAGAATTTCAGCTCATGTTAGGGCTATGAAGAAAATCAAACTGATACTTTATGGAGAGTGACTCCAGTTTGGAGAATAACGTTACATGGTCTTTGTCTCTTTTTTCTTTTCTTTTTTTTTGAGACAGGGTTTCACTCTGCCTCCCAGGCTGAAGTGCAGTGGCACTATCTTGGCTCACTGCAACTTCCGCCTCTCAGGTTCAAGTGATTCTTATGCCTCAGCCTCCTGAGTAGCTGGGCGCCACCACGCCCAGCTAATTTTTTGTATTTTAGTAGAGACAGGGTTTCACCACATTGCCCAGGCAATCCGCTTGCCTCAGCCTGATGTAGATGCCGTCTCAAAAAAAAAAAGTCAGACCAAGATGTAAATGCAGTTTCTTTCTTTTCTTTTCTTTTTTCTTTTTCTTTTTTTTTTTTTTTTTTTGAGATGCAGTCTCACTCTGTCACCCAGGTTGGAGTGCAATGACATGGTCTTGGCTCATGGTAACCTCTGCCTCCTGGGTTCAAGAGATTCTTCCGCCTCAGCCTCCCGAGTAGCTGGAACTACAGGCGTGTGCCACCATGCCTGGCTAATTTTTATATTTTTAGTAGAGATGGGGTTTCGCTATGTTGGCCAGGCTGGTCTCGAACATCTGACCTTGTGATCCGCTCACCTCGGACACCCAAAGTAGTGGGATTACACGCATGAGCCACCGTGCCTGGCTATAGATGCAGTTTCAACAAAGTCTTCTACTGACTCTGGTGCATTCTGAAGGATGGCTATTCAGAACTGTCCTGATCTAGGTGACCAGGCCATTTATAGCCTCTTTTTCTTTCTTTTTTTTTTTTAAGAAAAATGTTCTCAGAGAGGTTAAATGTCTTGCCCAGGGTAACACTGTAAGAATAAAGCAGAGATCCAAATGCAGGACCATTGACTATGCTCATATTTATTACTCTGTGCCATGTAAAAAAAATAATAATTTTTCTCTTTTCTTTGGGGCCTTGGCCTGATATGCTTGGATTTATATACAGACTGAATGCCAAGGGCAGACTTCAGCCATGTTGCCCAGGCTGGTCTTGAACTCCTAGACTCAAGCGATCCGCCTGCCTTGGCTTTCCAAAGTGCTGGGATTACAGGCATGAGCCACTGCACCCAAGTTATAGTCTTTTTTGATAGTTCACTGCAGGCCACAGCTCAGGAAGGGGGCAGACAGGGCAGGGCAGTTCTCTTCAGCCTGGCCAATCCCCAAAGAGACCAACAGCACTTCCAGCACCTGGGGTGGTAATCCTTCATACTGAAAGGAGTCTGGGTACCCACCACACTCCCCTCCCGCCTCTGCATCTTTCTCAGGCCCATTTTATACCTGCAACTGCTTCTTGGGGCTTTTATTTTGCCAATGTGCAAGAACAGATTGGCAAAATAAAAACCACTAGATATTCTTTTACTTATTAAAAAAACATAAAGTTTTTTTTTTAATCATTGTACTATCTGGCATGAGCCAAGATATGGGAAATGATTGTTTCAAACCCTGCTGGTGGGAAGACCCATTCAACATCAGTCAAAAAAACTTGACCCAGCAATTCTGTTTCTAAGAATTTATCCTGAGAAGATAATCATGATTGTGGGCAAATATTTAGCCAGGAGACTCTTCATTGTAGCTTAACAGCAAATAATTAGAAACAACCTAAATGTCCAACAACAGGGAATTGCCTGACTAAAGCATGGCATAATAGAAGACAAGTAAGTCATTCAGTTTGATACAGATGAAAAATAGATATTCACAATGTCTCATTGCCTAAAAAAATGGTCATAATGGCATATGTAGTACAATCCCCTATTTGTAGAAAACCATTGTTATGTATTCCTTTACTAAAAGAAAAATGCTGAAGGATAAGCACTAAAATCCTAACCGATTATTTCCACATGGTAGGATTATCGGTTGTTTTCCTTTGTTTATTTGTGTGAGCCACACCGAGCATGTTACTGCTTTTGTACTAAGGGGGGAAAGCAATGTACGTTATTAAAAAGAAATAGATTCCATCCCTGTGACTCAGTGAGCCCTTCCAAAAACAAGGAACAAGGACTGTCCTACAAATGAGTTTGAAGTCTTCTGGGGAAAGGACAGAAATCAATGAATTTTAAATGCCTGAGCAATGTGCAAAGTTGGAGAGAATACAAATTCCTTGGGCAAGATGGAGGTTGTGGCGGCTGCTTGAGTGATAGCAAAGGTCACACTCTGTACTATGTGGGGCAAGCAGGCAACCAGCACACACTGAAGATCACACACAAAAATAGTGCCTTCTCTGGGTACCCACCCAGGGACAGGGCTGGGCCAGGTGCCGCAAATGCACCCTGTGTCACTGGATCCTCATTCCGAGGTGGAAAATGAGGCTCAGAGTGGTTAAGTGTCTTGCCCAGGGTAACACAGCTACTGAGAGCAGAGCAGAGATCCAAATGCAGGACGATTGGCTATGCTCATATTTATTATTCTGTGCCATGTAAAAAAAGAAATCGGCTGTGCGCAGTGGCTCACGCCTGTAATCCTAGCACTTTGGTAGGCTGAGGCTGGCAGATCATGAGGTCAGGAGATCAAAACCATCCTGGCTAACACGGTGAAACCCTGTCTCTACTAAAAATACAAAAATTAGCTGGGTATGGTGGCTCACGCCTGTAGTCCCAGCTACTCGGGAGGCTGAGGTGGGAGAATTGCTTGAACCTGGGAGGTGGAGGTTACAGTGAGCCAAGATCGCACCACTGCACTCCAGCCTGGGCGACAGAGTGAGACTCAGTCTCGATTAAAAAAAAAAGAACTCATTTTTCTCTTTTCTTTGGGGCCTTGGCCTGATATGCTTGGATTTATATACATACTGAATGCCAAGGGCAGGCTGTAGCCGGCATCAAGGACAGGGCAATGATGTAGCGTAGTAAAAGTGCTGGCTGGCAGCTGCTTGGTGCTGACCATCTTCTTGCTGCTCTTGGCCTATCCTCATTTTGAAACTTCTGCCTAGGCTGGGCACAGTGGCTCACAACTGTAATCCCAGCACTTTGGGAGGCTGAGGTGGCAACATTGCTTGAGTTCAGGAGTTCAAGATCAGCCTGGGAAACATGGGGGAACACCATCTCCACAAAAAATACCAAAATTAGCTGGGTGTGGTGGTACACGCCTGTAGTCCCAGCTACTCAGGAAGCAGAGGTGGGAGGATCGCTAGAGCCTAGGAGGTGGAGGTTGCAGTGAACTAAGATCACACCACTGCCCTCCAGCCTGGGTGGCAGAGTGACACCCTGTCTCAAAAAAACAAAACCAAACCAAAAACTTTTGCCCAGAACCTTCCTTGACTGTTCTGGAACCCTTCTTTTCCATTGCACTCTTGTAAGGCCAGAGTGATGCCCCTGCTCAAACACCTTCAATGGCTCCCCACTACCTGTAACAAGATCAAGTTCATATTCCCTAGCCCGACATGTAAGACCCAGGCTACCTCAAACCTCACTTCACAAATCTACCAAATAGGGTCCTTGCTGGGCTTCCCTTTGCTCTATCACCTTGTGCCTGGGCATGGATGAGAAAAGCAGGACATGCCTGAATTTGAATCCTAGCTCTGCTGCTCTCTGGCTGGGACTCCTTGGCCAGGTTGCTTTCCCTCCCTAAGCCTAAGTTTCCTCATCTAAAAAATGGAATAATGATGCTGACATGTCACAGTGTGGTTGGGAAAGTATATAAGAGTGTTTGTGATGTGCTTAGCACAGGTCTAGGAGTGATAATTTTTTTTTTTTTTTTTTTTTTTGAGATGGGGTCTTGCCCAGTCGCTCAGGCTAGAGCACAATGGCTCACTGCAACCTCTGCCTCCCGGATTCAAGTGATTCTCCTGCCTCAGCCTCCTGAGTAGCTGGGATTACAGGTGTGCACTCCCACACCTGGCTAATTTTTTTTTGTATCTTTAGTAGAGACAGGGTTTTGCCATGATGATCAGGCTGGTCTCCAACTCCTGACTTTGTGATCTGCCCACCTCAGTTTCCCAAAGTGCTGGGATTACAGGCATGAGCCACCGCGCCCAGCCAGGAGGGTTAATTTTGTTATGTTCCTATGGAGAGTAAATGAATGGAGCTCCCCAAACAGTCTTCAGGGACCTGTGCCTAATTAGCATATTTCATCCATAAAAATGCAGGCTGAGCGCTTTGGGGCTAACTGTACAGCTGAATCAGCCAAGTGCCTCCCCCTTGTCCCAGCTGCTTTAAATTCGTGTTCTCGGCATCCTTCCCTCCCTCTGAGGCCTGATGGCTTTCCGGTGTTCTCCTTTTTGCCCCTTGGCAATCTCATTTTCCAGGTCTCCAAAACTATTTTAAGCCCCAGTAACCTTGTGTCTTCCTCAGGCATACCTTATCTCTCCCCAACACCTTTCACAGAGAACAGAGTCCTCTCAGTTCCCTCCATCCCTGCTGTCTGAGCAGACTGCTGTCTCCTTCCTGTTTAGGTCCCCAAGAGGGAGGGCCACTTCCCACCCTGGGGCTGCAACTCCAGGCAATGCTTGATCTCCTTAGCTCACCAAGTTTTCCTAACATCTTCTTCAACTAGGCCCTCTGCAGGGAATCCTTTCCCTCCACTGGCAGACAGGAGAGGCTACGGCAGAGCAGTGACTGGGGAAATATGTCCTGCCCAGCTTCCTACTCTCTTTTCTTTCCCCTGCCCCTCTGCCAATAGAATGACTTGAATGACAGGCTATATTAGCAAAAACATGGTATTTAGAACAAAGGAGGTGATAGGCCCTCTTTTTCGTGCCGATCTAACCACATGTGGAGTATTATGCCTTCCAGTTCAAGTGCCAAGCTATAGGGAAGGAAAGCCTATAGGGTCTGAGAGTATAGACTTTAGAAGTCACAAACCTGGGTATGAATTCTGACCCAGCCACTTTGCAGCCACAAGCAAGTGACTGAACTTCCGTTTTTGGTTTGTTTTTGAGACAGAGTCTTGCTCTGTCACCCAGGCTCAAGTGCAGTGGCATGATATCGGCTCACTGCAACCTCTGCCTCCTGGGTTCAAGAGATTCTCCAGCCTCAGCCTCCCGAATAGCTGGGACTGTAGGCACACGGCACCATGCCTGGCTAATTTTTGTATTTTTAGTAGAGACGGGGTTTCGCCATGTTGGCCAGGCTGATCTCGAACTTCTGATCTCAGGTGATCTGCCTGCCTTGGCCTCCCAAAGTGCTGGGATTACAGGTGTGAGCCACTGTGCCCGGCCTGAACTTCTAAAGGAGGTTTTTAATCAACCTATTTCCTGGCTTTGTTTCAAGGATTCAGCAAGGGTAATTTCCACTCCAACAAGGCTGTGTGGAGCACCGCCTCTGGGTTCCCAGCACACCCACTGCACACTTACCAGGCCTGTCTTCTTCTTTGTCCAGCTCAGGCCTTCCAGAGCCCGAAGGCTTCTGAGAGATGGCCCAGGAGGAATTAGGGCAACTATGCCAAGAGAGTGGGGAGTGAGGTGCACAGAAAGCCAGCTGGAGTATTTGCAGGAGGTACCTGCCACTCCTCTCCCAGCCCAGTCCCTGTGGGCAAGTCCCTGTGAGTTCACTAGCCCGTTTCACTGCAGTCTGGGTCTGTACACATCTTTTCCCAGACACCCTGCCAACATCTCCAGTTTATTGCTAAGACAACTGTGGCTCCAAAAGGTGAGGCCACCTTGCTGAGAGCCAGGGAGTTCCTGAGCCCAGCTCAGTTCTGACCCCAGAGCCTAGCCCCTGCTCTGAATGACAAAAGCAAAATTAAGCCACCAGTCATTTAAAGGACCCTGGTCCTCCAAGGAAAAGGTCTGATCTGGCCATCACGTCTTACTCTGAATTAACACTCTGGAGAGACCAATGCCTTTCTGTGTAGGCCCCTCTCAAGCAGGGGAGTGTGGTTTTCCAGATGTGATAGGCCACCTCCTGTTTGACAGTCATCCAGCTGGTCCTCCTCTGTCACTGTCCTGTGGCAAGGCCTCTGGTCCTGAAGGCTGGGCTCTGCCCATTGGCTCTGTCACGTGGCACCTGGGGAGCCCATCAGAGTGAAGCGGGCGATAGTTTCACTTTCTTCTAAACAAAGTCTCATCCAAAGGGCTCTCAGATATGCAGTTCCCAGGCTTCCCTAGAGACAAGGGCCTGGGGAGAGGCTGTTTCATGACAGAACTCACCCATGGAGGCAAAAGCCTTGGAGTTCAAGCCACCCCTGATTTTGTCCTGCCAGCTAGAACTATCAGCCAAAACCCAGAATCAGGCAGCTCTATAACTGTTCATGGCCCTAGGACCTCAGAATTCCATGCTTGGGACTATGCCCCCCTGGAAATAGCAGGTGATTTGTGCAAAGGGGTTTCTGGCAGGGTGGTTAAAAGAAGGGAGATGGCCAGGTTTGGTGGCTCATGCCTGTAATCCCAGCACTCTGGGGGCTAAGGCCAGTGGATCACCTGAGGTCAGGAGTTCGAGACCAGCCTTGCCAACATGGTAAAACCCCATCTCTACTAAAAATACAAAAATTAGCTGGGCATAGTGGTATGTACCTGTAATCCCAGCTACTCGGAAGGCTGAAGCAGAAGAATCGCTTGAACCCACGAGGCAGAAGTTTCAGTGAGCCAAGATAGTGCCACTGTACTCCAACTTGGGCAACAGAGTGAGACACTCCATCTCATTTAAAAAAAAAAAAAAAGAAGGGAGAGGTGGAAATGGTTCCAAATGCAGGGTAGACAGGGCTGCCTGCCCATCACAGGAGTTTCCATTGCTCCCATTTGAAAGGGTACACTGCTTTCACAGTACCCTCCCCATTCTGATCTTGTCTGGTCCTCAAAATTATCTGTGCCCATCAGACAAGAGGGCAAGGGACAATGCTTATCCCCCACTTCTATTTTCCTTCTTCTTCTTTTTTTTTTTTTGAGAAAGAGTCTCGCTCTGTCACTCAGGCTGAAGTATAGTCATGCAATTTCCAATCACTGCAACCTTCTGCCTTGTGATTCAAGCAATTCTCCTGCCTCAGCCTTCCGATTAGCTGGGATTATAAGTACGTACCACTATGCCTAGTTAAGTTTTGTATTTTTAGCAGAGACAGGGTTTCACCATGTTGGCCAGTCTGGTCTGGAACTCCTGACCTCAAGTGATCCTCCCTCCTCAGACTCCCAAAGTGCTAGGATTATATGTGTGAGCCACTGTGCCTGGCCTCCCTCATTTCTCAAAGGAAGAAACCAAAACCCAGAGAGGCCAAGTGACTGAATGACTCCAGGTCACACAGCTCCTTAAGATCTAGGGCCAGACCCTAGCCTCCTAAGTGTTTTTTTTTTTTTGAGATGGAGTCTCACTCCGTACCCCAGGCTGGAGTGCAGTGGCACGATCTTGGCTCACTGCAACCTCTACCTCCCTGGTCCCAGTTCAAGCAATTCTCCTACCTCAGCCTCCTAGGTAGCTGGGATTACAGGCATGAGCCACCATGCCTGTAATTTTTGTATTTTTTAGTAGAAAATACAAATTTTAACATTGTTTCACTATGTTAGCCAGTCTGGTCTTGAACTCCTGACCTCATGATCTGCTCGGCTCAGCCTCCCAAAGTGCTGGGATTACAGGTGTGAGCCACTGCACCCTGCCGCCTCCTAAATTTTAATCCAGTGCTCTTTTCACTACCCTAGGCCACCTTTATGAAGAAGTGAACAGTAAAAAGGACATGTATGTTGAAGTCTGGAGTCTGGTGTGAAAGAACATTGAGGATGCAGATCAGCCCATGAGATAGGAGGTGAGGGGAGGCCTATCTGTAAACTCTTCAAAGAAAACTCCTAACTTGGCTGGACACAGTGGCTTACACCTGTAATCCTAGCACTTTGGGAGGCCAAGGTAGGAGGATTGCTTGAATCCAGGAGTTCAAAACCAGCCTGGGCAATATGGTGAAACCCCATCTCTATTATTAAAAATAATAATAAATAATATAAGAAAGAGAAATTCCTAACTTTATAGGAATCATTGGTGCTTGTCCCACTCAGGGCCCCTTTTCCATCTGGCTCTTCTGGGTAAAATCACTTTAAGGAGGCAAAAACTGTGATTACCTCCTTGGGATGGCAGAGCACTTAGGGGACATGTCAGAGTGCTGAGACTGGACTCCTGTAGCTGAAGAGGCAGTGCCACTGTCGTAATTTCATATTCAGAAAACTAGAATTAAGTACCTATCATTTTTGTAATTCAGACCACAGTGTAAAGCTGGAAGAAACCTCCATGGCTGAGAGAGATGCACAGAAACTCAGCAAATAATTTTTTTTTTTTTTTTGAGACAGAATTTCACTCTGTTGCCCAGGCTGGAGTGCAGTGGTAGGATCTTGGCTCACAGCAACCTCCGCCTCCCAGTTTCAAGCGGTTCTTGTGCCTCAGCCTCCCAAGTAGCTGGAAACTACAGATGTGTGCCACCATGCCCGGCTAATTTTTGTATTTTTAGTAGAGATGTGGTTTCACCACGTTGGCCAAGCTGGTCTCCCAACTCCTGACCTCAAGTGATCCACCTGTCTTGGCCTCCCAAAGTGCTGGGATTACAGGCATGAGCCACTGCGCCGGCCCCAGCAAAGTCTTAAGCAGGATAAAGCTCCCTTCCCCCAGGGGAGGAGGGGATGTCTGGAATTCCAGAGCCTAAGATTGGGGCTGGTTGGGGGTTGAAATAGGTTGAGAAAATCTGAACTAAATGCCCTTTAAGATGTTCTGAATTCTGCCAGTCTGTGTGAAATCTTCCTGCTGATTATTGATCGTTGGAAGGGAATTTTCAGTGTGTTGTGAAGTGAGAATATCTTGCTCCTTTTGAGGATCCCCCCTACCAACCCCATACAAACAGAGGGCAACCTCTAGACAGAATGATTTTTTTTTTTTTTAGATAGGGTCTTGCTTTCTTGCCCAGGTTGGAGTGCAGTGGCATGCTCAAGGCTCACTGCAGCCTCCACCCACCAGGCTCAAGTGATCCTCCCACCTCAGGCTCCTAAGTAGCTAGGGCTATAGGCGCATGCCATCACACAAGCTAATTTTTCTATTTTTTATAGAGATGAGGTTTCGCCTTGTTGCCTAGGCTGGTCTTGAACCCCTGGGCTCAAGCAATCCACCCACCTCCATCTTTCAAACTGCTGGGATTACAGGCATGAGTCACTGCGCCCAGCCCTCAGAATGAATTTTTAACCCTGGTTCTAACTACTGAATTGTAACAGCTTTGGCCACAGTCGAAGCCCCTGCCCCACACTCAGAGATTTAGAGAAGACCAGATGCCAGGCTGCTTTGGGGCTCCGAAAGGTGAGGAGCCCACCCTTCCTCTCCCTGGGGACTGGCCTTCCCCTAGGTGGGTCCCCTGGAGCCCTGGTGCCTCCCCAGCTCCTTTTAGTCATCCCATAAACATGCTCTGGGTGCCAGCACCCCTCCCCACCTCTGAGCCCTTCCTTGTCAATGCCAATTTCCTTCCAAGGATCCTCCTGTTCCTTTCTTCCTGCTGGCTGCTTCCCCGCCACTTCCTGGCAGAGCCCCAGTGAACCCTATTGCCTCTGCTTAGTTGATCTCTCTCTCTCTCCCCTTCTCTCTCTCAGCGGCTGCCTGACCCTGTGACCACCCTTTGCTTCTGGGAATTCTCTTTGCTTCCAGCCTCTTTCTGTTGATTTTGCCTGTTTCTCTTCCCACTTATTTCTTCATTCATATATTAGGACTTAGCACAATTATTATTAATCATTTTTCCAAAATGTCTTATTTAATATCCATATTTCTCTTGTACTGTGAATTCCAAGAAGGCAGAATCTGGATCTTTCTCACACATCCTGGCACCTAGATTTTTGGTCAAATAGGTGAATGGATGCACTTGTCCTCCCCTTCCTTGGCCTTTCCAGTCAGGCTGGCTGCCCATTCCCTGATTCCTGAGAACAAGCTGCAAACACTGAGAGCTCTGCTTTGAACCAGTGACTGGGCTGTGGGCTGACCTGCCTTGTGGGCTTAAATCCCTCCCTTCTGCCTTTTTTTTTTTTTTCTTTTTTTTAGAGTCAGGGCCTTGCTTTGTCATCCAAGCTGAGTACAATGGCTTGATTATAGTTCACCGCAGCCTCGAACTCCCGGGCTTAGCCTCAGCCTCATGAGTAGTTGGGACTGGGACTATAGCTGAGCAGTACCATGCCTGGCTAATTTTCATTTTTTAAACTAATTTTAATAATTTTTTTGAGATTATATCTCGCTCTGTAAGCCAGGCTGGAGTACAATGGCACAGTCTTGGCTCACTGCAACCTCCGCCTCCTAGGTTCAAGTGATTCTCCTGCCTCAGCCTCCTGAGTAGCTGGGATTACAGGTGTTCACCATTATGTCTGGCTAATTTTTGTATTTTTAGTAGAGACAGGGTTTCACTGTGTTGGCCAGGCTGGTCTTGAACTCCTGACCTCATGATATGCCTGTTTTGGCCTCCCAAAGTGCTGGGATCAAAGGTGTGAGCCACTACACCTAGCCCCCTAGTTAATTTTTAAAAAACCTTTGTTGTAGGAATGGGGTCTCACTCTGTTGCCCATGTTGGTCTCAAACTCCTAGGCTCAAGCATTCCCCCAGCCTTGGCCACTCAAGTAGCTGGGACTACAGACATGTGCCACTATGCCCAGCTTATTTTTTATTTTATTCTTGTAGAAATGGAGGTCTCACTATGTTGCCCAGGCTCGTCTTGAACTCCTGGACTCAAGCAATCTGCCCACTCTGGCCTCCCAAAGTGCTGGGATTATAGGTGTGAGCCACCATGCTCCAACCTGCTTTTATTTTTATTTTTTTAAGATGGATTCTCGCTCTGTCACCAGGCTGGAGTACAGTGGCACGACCTCAGCTCACTGCACCCTCCGCCTCCCAGGCTCAAGTGATTCTCCAACCTCAGCCTCCTGAGTAGCTGGGACTACAGGCATGTGCCACCACACCCAGTTAATTTTTGTATTTTTTAGTAGAGACAGGGTTTCACCATGTTGGCCAGGATGGTCTCAATCTCTTGACCTCATGATCTGCCAGCCTCGACTTCTGAAAATGCTGGGATTACACGTGCGAGCCACCGCTCCAGCCTGTTTTTTTTTTTTTTTTTTAAATGGAGTTTTACTGTCACCAAGGCTGGAGTGTGGAGTGCAGTGGCACTATCTCAACTCACTGCAACCCTTGCCTCCCGAGTTCAACCGATTCTCTTGCCTTAGCCTCCCAAGTAGCTGTGATTACAGGCACGCACCACCATGCCTAGCTAATTTTTGTGTTTTTAGTAGACATGGGGTTTCACTATGTTGACCAGGCTGGTCTCGAACTTTTGACCTCAGGTGAACCACCCGCCCTGCCCTCCCAAAGTGCTGAGGTTATAGGCATGAGCCACTGTACCTAGCCCTTATTATTTTCATTTACGCACATTCCCTTCTAGAATTGCTTGATATTAAAGAAAAAATTAATTTTTTTAGACAGAGTGAGACTCTGTCTAAAAAAAAAGAGACAAGGTCTCACTCATTGCCCAGGCTGGAGTGCAGTGGCATGATTATAGCTCACTGCAGCATCCAACTCCCGGGTGTACCCTCCAACTCCTGGGCTCAAGTGATCCTCCTGCCTTGGCCTCCCAAGTAGCTGGGACTACAGGTGTTTACCACCACATCCACCTTATTTTTTATTTTCTGTAGGGATTGGGTTTTCCTATGTTTCACAGGCTTGAGTGGCTACCAATGTTAATTAAACCTTGGGATCTCCTCAGAGGATTTAATTGGCACCAAGTGGAAAGGTTTCATCTGGTCCAGCAGGATCACTGTACAGATGGGAAAACTGAGGCCCTGAGAGGTAAGGCAGTAGGCCTAGGAACACCATTCTGGATGGCCCCTGAGCTGTTTTCAAAGCACCCCTGAAAGAGTGCTTGCAAGATCTGAAACCAGAAAACAGTAGTTACTCAAGGGAGATGAATTTTGACCTGGCACTACATTCTGAAAAATTTGAAAAACTGCCTCCGTCTTCTCAGATCCTTTAAACCAGGATTTTCACGTGAGGCCTGAACTCCAGTCCAGGAGGGTGGGAGGTATGGATGACTACGTGAAGGTGAGAGGGGCTGTGTGAACAGGAATGGGTAAGGCCAGTAAATCCTGGGAACCTCCAACCCACCTTACTTTGCTCCAGGGACAAGCACTGGGCCTGAGGAGTTCAGGGAGGTCCCTGGCAAATGCCTCCAGGAGGAAACAGCCTTCCTGCTGCCTGTCAGGACAGTTGATCCTGGGCCTGATCTTAGCTAATTTCAGCAGCTCAAGGGGAGGACACCACCCCTGTATCTGTTCTGCCTCTCAAATGCACCAAGAGAGCTGGCAAGGCAGAGGGATTGCTATTGATTTTCACTTGTGCAGGCTGACCTAACAAAACCAATCGGTCAAGTGCCTGTCTGCCTCTGCCTCAGACTCTCATCCCAGGCATGTGCAAATAAATTGCACCAGCATCCAGGGTGATTTGTCAAGGTCCAGCTAGGCACGGACTCTGGCTTCCGCTGACAGGACAGGGCTCCAGGCTAGGCTGGGCTCGGGTTAGCCCAGTCAATGCCCCGCTGTTGACTTGCCATTGACTGACACCACATGGGAATGGAGGGGCCTGGCAGCTGCTGCCACACTAGGAGCTGGAGGGCCATGCCTGGGAGGGACTTTGAGGAGCCAGGCCCCTACTCACTTTGGCAGGGCTTGGCAGTGACATTCTTGTTTCTTTATTTTTTCTTTCTTTCTTTATTTTTTGAGACGGAGTTTCGCTCTTGTTACCCAGGCTGGA